GAGATGCCCAGACAGACCCTGCTCACCCTCGTGTGCTGCTCTCACCGAGTGCATCTTCAGCACTTCAGGGTGTCCCTGGCCATGGTCACTCCCTGGGAATAACCATCACTCCACGTGTCCCTTTGGAGAACCATATGGATACCCCATATCCCTCCTGGGAGGGCTACAAGCTCCCTGATGCCCTCAGACCTCAGGGTTGTGGTCTGGTTGGCAAAGGCTCTGCCAAAAATCAGCACTGGTTTGTTTAGTTTCCTGAGTGAAAAAAAAAAACCAAAAAAAAAATACTTCTTTTGGCCTTATCTGGATTGAAAAGACGATTCAAAGCTTATAAATAGCAGTGGCAGCATATGCTAAGGAGCTGCGTTTCAGATGTAAATATCCTCCTCATTCCAACGCACATTTCCCCTCACTGTCTCCTCTACCTCCCCCTGTCTGGCCAAAAGCACTGCCAGGTGACTTGCAAACCCTGCACCCCTTAAGACCTTCGTTCTTCTTTACATCTTTAAGCTGCCAGTAATTAATATCTGCATGACGGCTTTGCCTGCCTAATTATCTTCTTTGCTCAAAATAAGAGTCTTCCTAAATAACTTCTGTGGCTCTGCTTGCAGCAGTCGTCACGAGCCGCCGTGCACCAGGACTGGCCTCTCAGCTGCACTTTGGAGAAGTGTTTTCATGAGGCTGCAGCTCTGGAGCTCACGAGTTTGCTCCTCTGTGAATAAAACAGGGCATGCTATGGAATTGGCTGAGTTTGTGCATCTATGAACAGCCCTGGAGTGTTGGCATGAACAGTATGGGGCAGCTCTTCCAGAGACACCAGCTCCCACTGCAAGTCCCTTCTCTTGGGAAAACTCAGAGCCAAACACATATGGAGGAGGGAGGAAATTCCAGCACTGGCCACAGCCTCTTTCCAAAGCCAAACAGCAGCTCAAGGGAATGGGGCATTTCTCCAAGGGCTGGAAACTTGATTGCCTGTTACAGAAGGATGGATGCTCCTTCCAGTGCTGTCCCCTACAACAGAAACCCCAGCAGCACTCCCTCAAATAGATCTTGTCTCTACCTCTGTGCTGCCGGTGCAGAGATTTCAGAGACACTGGCCACAGCCTCTTTCCAAAGCCAAACAGCAGCTCAAGGGAATGGGGCATTTCTCCAAGGGCTGGAAACTTGATTGCCTGTTACAGAAGGATGGATGCTCCTTCCAGTGCTGTCCCCTACAACAGAAACCCCAGCAGCACTCCCTCAAATAGATCTTGTCTCTACCTCTGTGCTGCCGGTGCAGAGATTTCAGAGACCTTTAAAAATCCGTACAAATTCTTGGTGCCACGGAGGGAAAAGGGCAGGCAGTCAAGGGGCAGGGATTTGGGGAGCTGGGAGGAGAGAGGCAGCTCCTTGCAGGTGGCACATTGCCATCTAGCTGGCGTTTGCTTATTTTCCTTGCAAACCAAGTTTCCCTGGAAGTGTGCAGCTCGACTGGGTGGGAAGCATCCCTGGGGGCTGGGGACCCCAGGAGCCAGGGCATTGCTGCTGCCACTGGGCACTAGCCAGAAGAACCAAAGACAAACTGACAACCAGGTGTCCTGAGGTAACAGGAGCAAATCCCTCCCTTCCCAGTCCCAAATCCCAGCTGATCCTCTCAGCTCACAGCAGATGCTAGCACTGGTCCAAACAGCATCAAACCATCCTGCACCAAATACACATTTCCCACCTGCCTCATTCCACCTACTTAGCAGCTCCATTAGGGATAAACTCACTGCAGGAAAAGTCTTGCTCTGTACAGCTTGGGCTCTGATCCCACAGCATCCCTGGACAGAGGATGGAGGAGGCACAGGGCAGTGAGGAGTCCCTCTCCAAGGGTCTCCCAAGGGCCCTGGGATAGCAGCGGGTGCCTCCCACAATCCTGCAAATCCTCACAGCAGCACTGCTGGCAGTTCTGATGGGAAGAGCTGGCTCCATGCAATTCCCAACGATCCCAGAGCCAGCTCAGATGTCTCCACTCATTATCTGCTGTGTTAGCTCCCAGGCCCTGCCACTCGCTGCATTCAACAGGCTGGTTGTGTCCAGAACCATCAACCTGAGCCTCTGCATGAGCCCCCCATGGCTGGTCCTACATATTCTCCCACCCTGGCCAGATCCCTGCCCATCTCTGGAGGAATTCCACCTGCCTCCTGCAGCCCAGAGATTCTTGGTTTTCCAAAGCATCAAACCTATGCATGCACACGCACCCCTGACATCCATCCCTGCTCCTTGTACATGTCAAAATGCTGGGTCAGGCCCCCCTACTTGGATGGGAACATACACTGATGCTTCTCCCAAGGCTGCCCTATCCCAGGGAGAAGCTGCCTGAAGGAAGGCAGTTCCCACTGGCTCCACAGACAGTCTGAGGATTGCTGGTGGGATCTGGAGCATGACTTTGCAAAGGATTAAGGAACACAGTGCAGGGAACCAGCCCAGGAGAGCCAGTTAGGACCTACCCAGCCCACTCCTCACAGTCCTGTTGGGGTTCCAGAGGTTGGGCAGGGATGGTAGGGTTGGCAGCCCTGGTCCAGCCCCTGCTGATGCCACCCTACACTGCGGTGGTGATGGAGCAACGTGGCTCCAGCAACCATCCTGGCTGGTGCTGCTAGAAACCCAGAAACCCCAGGCTGAAGCAGTAAGTCCAGGCAGGAACAACTGTGGGGAAAACCAGCTAAATGCTGCATTTCTCCAGGCAGGGGCAGCTTCTCCTCCCACCTGGCCAGGCAGCAGCAATGCTCTGGCGTTGGAGAAGGGAAACCCACAGGCAGGTGGGACAAACAGGGTAAGAGCCATCCTCTCCTCCTGGTGGATCCTGCCATGGCAAAATCCCTCTCCCTGCACCCCTCCATGGGCTAGGAGCATCTCTGGGAAGCCAGGCAAGATGTACTCCTGCCCAGCAAGACCTTGATTTGTGGGTGCTGCACCCAGACTCTGACACCACCACCCCTGGAGATGGTTCAACAACCTGAACCCCATGCATCACCCAAGGGGACTGACACCACCCAAACCCCAGTGCTCTGCTGAGGTACAGGCAGAGACAGGTTCTCCAGGGGAAATTTAGTGCAGGTGACTAATTCAGAAGCCCTGAATCACCCTCCAGGGATGTGGGAGAGCTGAAAGACATTCCTCAGTGTAGCTGATGGCTCGAGTCAGGCTGCACAAATGCCCTCCCAGCTCCCTGCCTGGGAAATGGGACCAGGGAACCCTTGTCTGGCTTTATCACTTGGCTGCTAAACATGGGGGAGTGACAGTCTCATCCTGCACACTTCTGCTAACCAGTGTCCTGAGGGTGGCTGGGGGCACCCTGTGCTGTCCCCAGAGCTGTGACACCAGCAGTTCCAACTCCCCGCTCTGCTCCTGGCACTGCTGTGCCTTTGCCAGCTAAAACCTCACCACATCTGGCAAAACAGCCTCAGCAGTTTGCCTGACACCTGTTACACTGCAAGAAACACTCTTCCTAACACCAGCCAGGGTGAGAGAAACACCCGCTGGCCCCGGCGTGGAGCCAAACTGCTCCCAGCATCCAACATCGCCGGAGGATAAATGCAGAATACAGAGCCCTGGGCAATTTCCATTCGAGTCACCCAGAGAAACCCCTTCACCCCCGGGCCCTGAGTGCTTTGGCTCCCACACCCCACCCTGCTTCTGCAGCCCAGTTGCTCCCATCGTTATTGCCAGGATGAGCAAAGATGAGCTAATAATTAGAGCAGCAAATAACCCAAATCCGGTGAAAGTCCCTGTTAACTGCACGGCTGGGACAAACGTGGCTTAGCAGAGATGTTCTCCCCGGGAGTGCAGCGGCTCTCACCTCCTCCAAAGAGACTGTGACCCTGACACTGGGGTGGGGAGAGAGGGAGTGTGAGTTTGGAGCTGGTACCCAGCTCTCAGCCTCTCTCCCCGGGCTGCAGCTGGTGGTCAGCGGGCAGAGAGGGGCGTGGGGATGGCTGTGCCACCCTGCAGCAGCACAGTGCCCTCCTTGGGCTCTCACTCCAGGCTCTGGCATGGGTGGCAGCAGCCCAGCCCCGGGCCCAGCAGAGATGCCGAGCAGGGC